CTGTCACGTAGAGGACAGGTGGTGGCTATCTGCAATTTTACAGTGCTTGCCTGCTTTTATCTGGGCTAGTAGGCCAACTAGCCTACATGTATTTTCATTTTGGCCCAGCAAACATTAAGAAAAGCCAAAGTGGCTGTGTTAAGTTTGTCACAAAAAGTTTGGCTCCAAAAGGCAGGGGAGGGTTTTCTTTATTCTGCAACTTTATGCAGAATTTGATGCCACCGCTATCTTGTGGATTTTTCTGCCTGGGTAGTGACTCCACAGTGTGGCCCGAATGACAGGAAAGATTTGCTGTTGCAGGCATAAGCATAAGCATCCTCATAACAGCGTCTTTAGTTCCAAGCAATTAGGCGGTAATGTGCAAGAGGCAGCCCCAGCGTCCGCTCGCTCTCCTGTCTCCATCTCAGTGTCTTGTCTCTTGCCACTTGCGACTCTGCATCCTATCTGACATTACGTCCAAGGATTGATAAGTCTGCGTGCGTCACACACAACCACGGAACACAGACCGATTTTCTTTCATTAGGCCCTCCAGCTGGAGCCAGCTCACTTTCAATCAAGTCAATTCAGGAAATGGATTTTCTTATAAATGCAAACCAGATGTCCTGTGGCATGAGATAAACTTCTTAACCAATCTAAAGAAAGTATCGGGAACGAAGGTTTGATCATAAATATGCAGATGTGGGCCAGTTTGGAAAAAGTAAAACTGTGGTGACAAGAAGAAAGGGAAGGAGAAGGCAGCTGGTGCACACAGTCAAATCTGCAGCCGCAGGCACACCCATATGTGAGTGTCATGCTATCATAGCTCAGCTTCCACATCCACAGCCAGAACCACACTGAAGCATCTTCAAATTAGACGGAGGCATCCCAGTGACACCGAGCAGACACACACCGGTCCTGTGTGGTGAAGAGGGCAGCAGCAGGGTGTATTTTTACACCAGATCTCTGACACCTACGTACATCTCTTCACAGCTCTTGGTGAGAACAGAAGACACGTCCACTTGAGTTGTCATCATCAGTGGCCTCAGACGTGGACAGTTGGCGAGGAGGCAGAGGTGAGGAGAGAGACATGAGGAGAGGAGGACTAGAGGAGGGGAGGTAATGAGGGAAGACGAGTGTCCGGATATCGTTTGGCGTGAAGGCCTCTGCTTTAGTTTTTACTTTTGCGTTTCAGTGGCAAAGGGTTGTGAAGCCGATTAACCACGTTTGGGGCATGAGTGACGCGAGGGGGGACCGTCAGTGGCAAATGGGAACTTTTCCTGGGAGTGTCAGGTTTCAGGGTGAGCAGGTTTGCTAAGTGAGGGTGGGGGGGGGATACAGAAAAGGATGTGTGGTTTATGTGTGTGTGTGTCTGAATGGATAAACATGCTGATCGGAGGAGGAGAAAGTAGGAAGGAGCAGTGGGAAGAGGGCGTAAACACAGGGAGGGAGTGGGAAAGACAACCAGGGTGGGGATTACAATCATTAGAGAGGAGAGGTTACAAGAAAAAGGGCAGACAGTCAAGTCATGTTTGTAGAATGGCCTGAGTTTTCCTGGGGGGGAGACATCTGTGGTGTTGATGCAAACCCACCCCCACCCACTAACGCCCCCACCACCACTACCAACCCCACTTCCCCAATGAATATCCCTCGCTCTCATTCTCTCCTCCTCCTCCGCTCCTGATTGACAACTACTGTGTCTCTAATTGGCAAGTGTGGATGGGGAAGATTCGGGCTTATTCTCCATGGGACAGACCAAGAAAGAGATAAAGAGGGAGAGAGAGAGTGTGTGTGTGTAGAGGGGGAGGACATGGGAGGGAGTCTTCAAACTGAGAAAGAGGAGAGGAGGAAGGAGATAGAAAAGGGGAAAAGGAGGTGGCAAATGCATTGGTAGAAGGTGGGAGTTGAGGAGGAGGGGATGGAGGTGAGGGCTGAACATCTGTTTGGTAATCGGTCTCTCCCCTCCGTGCAGTAGAACACACACTGACACCTATTTGATAATTGGTGAGCCGGCCCTCTCCCTCAGCGCTCGGCTAAATGGTTGCTTGATACTGGGGGGAGCGATGGGACTGGCTGTTGGCAGTGTAATCTGTTTACTTGGTGCAGCTCAGGTATACAGGCTGCCCGTGTGTGTGTCTGTGTGTGTGTCTGTGTCTATGTGGCTGTGGGGTAAAAGCTTACAATTGTGTAATTAGTCCAACAATGTGCTCAAGATGTGACTTGAAGCTCGCGTGAAATGTGCATTATAACCTCCGAGCGACGCCGCTGCATTGCTATTCAAGGATAAATGTGATCTCTTTTGTCTGTCTTGTCCCAGGTGCTGTCCTTTAAGATTTGCCTCCACACAGACCTCCTCCTCTTCCACGCTGCAATCTCATTGTGCAGGAGCCGAACGGATGCGTGCAGAGGAAGAAAAGGGGGGAGAATGAGCTCCAGTGCCGAGAGCAGTGGGATGGAGGGGAGGAGGTGGGCCTCTTTGCTCCGGTCTCGACCACGGGTATTCTTGGGTTGATAATACAGATGTGGATGTTATTGCTTGAGAATACGCGTAGTCGAGTGGAAGCTTTGTCATCTACACTGGACCTAAAGCAGAGCACTATTCAGTAGAAGACAATGGCAGACACAGATAGATGTGTAGCAAAGCTGAGGAGGTGACACACACACACACACACACACACACACACACACACACACACACACACACACATGGATTTTAATTAAGCACCCAGAGGTGGTGTTTTATGGGAAACTGCTTATTTTGCTCAATCAGAGGTTTTATTTCTTTAATAGAAGTCAATCAGGGCTAGCCAGGTGCCCAAATCAAATCCAGCCACTGAAAAAGGTTTTATCATCGTAGGTTTATCAACCATGTCATTCCTCACACCTGTGGAGGAAATGAGTTTTTACGTCGCCTGGCCATATTCAGCGTCTCCTGCAGAGGCGCTGGTGGGGAGGATTTGCACCATGCCACTAAGCTAAACCCTCCCAGGAATTAGTTCAGGGAGCTTAACACAAAAGTCTCCCGACTCAGACGTTAATTTCAAACCTTCTTGATTACATGCTCTTGTCTGTCACTCGTACACACACAAGTGAGCCCATAATCTTATCACTTCTTTCACAGTCCTTCACACACGGCACCCAACAGTTTGCTAAATCTGTGGCAGAAATTGCTTTTTTGTGGTTTTCCTTGGACGTAAATGGTTGCAGTACTACCTCTGCTACGGTACGTTATAACCGTGCATAACCATCATCCCTTTTTTGCTCTACAAACTACCCGTGCGCTCCTATTTTTGACTCCCTGGCTCATGCTAAAAATATGTGAGAGTTCAGTGCCTGTAGCTGCAGCAACAGGAGACAGTAACACATGAGGACATGTCAAGGCTTGCACCCGTGGGTGACATTTCAGCATTCGGCTCAGCTGACTGGCTGCTGTGATGGAGACTCAGAAGTACACACACACACACACACACACAGTATATGTATATATATATGTGTGTTTATATATGTTGCATGATCTACATGCCAGTAGAACCAGGGGATTGATGGAGTCTATGAAAACAAGCAGATCCCCATATGTATGTATGAAAGCTGGGTTCACTGGGTCCATGTGCCGGTGGGGAAATAAGGGGCTGATTGATTTTATGGGTACCTATTTTTAGTCAGAGTGATGGATGTTTATGTCTTTTATTGATCAAGTTTAGGTGTGGGTTTGAAGAATTCTTGGACGTCAGGGCATGCTGATTAATCAGGCAGCAAAGGAGCTAGAATAAAACATCCTGAGTTACATTTTTGGTACATTAGCATTATTGCTAAGTATTATAAATTAGAAAATCAACATTTCATTGCACATTCAGCAGTATATTAGCATCTGTTTGCAAATGTGCCCATGATAAATTACTCTCCCATCATTTATTATTCCATGATTTCTTGCAACCGCGTAAGCAAATCTCTTATTTATTAGCACGCTGTATAGTTGTAATTTATATGAATTTCACTCTGAGGCTGTGTAAACTTGTTGATCGGGCAAAGCCATTTCTGTGGCTTTGTGTGTATTTGTGTATGCATGTGTGTGTGTGTGCACGCTTCTAAGCAACAAAATGACTATTGTGAGCACAGCTCCAGGTGCCTAGCAACCAAATCGCTCTGTTTCCTTGGCAACAGTTGCCTCGCACTCACTGTGTGGGTGATTGGCAGCCTTGACAACGGAGACGGAGTGACACTTGACCTCGCGTGCTGAATGGGAAGAGGAGAAAGAATGAGCGAGAAATAGAAGAGAGGGGGAGGCAGTGGGAGGGGACGTGCAGAGACAGAGGAGAGACTAAGTGATAATCATTCTCCATTGTAATCATCCTCCAGCATGTTTCATAAGGCTTCATCAATACCTCTCCAGCTGGGGTCCATCATCAAACACAATACACGGTGCGGTGAGCGCATGCACGGACACACTCTTCCTGGGTGGAGAGCCCAGGCAGCACTCCACATCTCATCTATTATCACTCAGTGCTGCCTGGTGCACAGCCTCGCCACACTGTGTCTTCTTTCATTTGTGATCTGCTACATCCTGCACTCTGCGGGGATAAATGGATACTGGACTCCTAAAAATGTGTCACAGTCACAGATGCCACAGGAGAGTAGATCAGAAGCTTCACCCAGAGACGTTTTACTTTGAAATAGGCGTCAACTGTAGTGTCAGCATCTTTTGACACCTTTGAGTTTAAGAGCTGTAATTATTAAAATGTATTTTAGTGGTTCTCTATATAAAGTCACCAGATGGAGGTTTCCCATTGTACTGAGATTTAATCAAAAAGAGTGTTCTTCTCTTCTGTACAGTGATAAATCCAAACAGTACAAATAAAAATTGCTTTTATTGTTGTTATGATTGGAGTCAAATAAAAGCACACGTTTGAGCATCTGTTCTTTCATCTTGTTCCACCTTAAATCTATTCCACACACCTCTTGTTCCAGAACTTTGGACCGAAAGTTAAATCATCTGTGAATATCAATGTTCTTCCTTTTCCTCTTTATTCAATCTCTGCATCTTTGACAGGTCATCTAAATCCCAACTGTAATATCTTTACCCTGAGGTTGCCCCTCCATTTGTCACCAGCTGGTGGTGCTCAGTGCTAAACAGGACGTTTGTCACGTAGGATATAATCACCTTTTGCTTCCTGTTCCCTCATTTAAAAGAAAAAACTATTACATTTACAAACCAAATCAAGGAAAGCCATCTTGATCACAGAAATACAAAGTGTGAGTCATCTTTTGATCACGATGACACAATGATTTATCTACTCAAACGCATTATATAATAAAATCAACTTTTTTTAAATCAACTTTTACTAGTATCAAGTGTTATTGCTCATTTATTTTCAACATCACACCTTTGAAATTTCATTACATAAAAAAACAAACAGCCTCCTCCTTTTCTGGCCTTTGCATTTGAAAATAAACAATATCACAGCTTGATTATGGGATAAGATTACAGTTGTTTTTTTTTTGTTTTTTTAAATACTTGCTCTATAACAAAAGATGATTTGTATGTGTTGGAGTTTCTTTTAAGCGTAAGCAACAAAGCGATACTTTCACCTGAAATTCTGAATGGATTGAGAACAAAGGTTTATGAATTCAGCAGCAAAGCATACGTCCTACACATTTCCTCTCTCCAGTGGAATGACCTAATGCTGTGACACAGCCGTCTGCATGAGGATGAGGAGATCTGTGTGATTGTTTATGACTGAACCCGTAACATCAATGCAACCTGAGGGTGTTCAAGGATTACAGTTCTGCAAATGACTTCATACTTAAGATCAACCGGTGCATTCAGCAGTGTAGCAGTTGGCCTGAAATGTCTTCAGAGAAACCAAGAACTTCAAAAGAACTTCACACTCCCCCCGGTTAAAGCTGACAGTGCAGCCAACCTGGAAACGTCCTCTGTCCTGATTGCTTCCAAAAGTGTATGATGGACAATTAGTGTATATAACAGTTTTTGTCTTACTCTCATTGAAAGGTCTCTTGTATAAAATTACATATACACAGCAAACAAAAGAAACCAGCTAAAAACTATTTTTTCATGATCTTCAACATAAAATAGTATTTAAAGGCGTGTCTACAAATGACCTAAAGGGTCTCAGAGGAATTCTAAAGAGTGAAAAACAGAAAAGAACATTTAGAAAACAAAGCCGTGCTCAATAATGACACACTGCAAATAAAAGTAATAAATCTCAAGAACACTTGTGGGCAGAACCCTTTCTCTGAACCTAACTCAGCAGGAACAATTCAAACCTTGTTTGTGCTGAAGACCTCATACTGTAATAAGACTGCTGTACATTTCAAGTGACCATACGGAAGTATCCTCAGACGAGCTTGATCCTACAGGGCAGATCCACCAGCCGCAAATTTGTCTTGGCTTCAAACACCACTAGGGCTACTGATTGGCTGCTTCACAGGCATCTATCCAATCACTGTACACGTCAACTGGCTCTGACAGATCTGAGGAGCAGTGGATTAAGGATAAACATGGTTCTGTTGCTTAAGGATGAGAGTTCAGATGAATGCAGGATGATATAAAATGTTAACATCTACGTACAGCAGAAAAGAAGAGAGTTTCCAAGTACACTACTATTTGCTGTGACACTGAGGTCGAGCAGTAATCTCCAAGTACAGTGATGGCCATTTTAAAGTCCCTTTACAAGCTAGCTTCTCTTTGACCGACACCACACACACACACGATGAAATTTGAGCACATCATCAGTAATATTTCCAATAAGTCAATATCTAAGTATCTAAGATGTAAATCTTACTTCTCTGTAAGATGTGGTTGCAGTGTCAGGATAGTGTTTATATGGACATATGTATGTATAGAGGAGAAACCCTTGTCACTGTTCAAAGGATAAGATGTGAATATTCTCCTGCAGATTTTCCCAAAGATGAACAGAACTCTTGGTAAAACACCAACAGACCAAAAACTGTGTGTGTGTGTGTGTGTGTGATAGAGACAATGCTGCACATAGAGGCACTGTTTAAATGTGTGTGAGAAAGGGAAAGACACATCTGTATTGTAAAGCACATTGATCTAGACTAGAAAAGTGCTATATGAATGCAGACCAATTACCATTTGTTAAGCTTAGTGTTGTGTTAACATTGTTTTGCTGCCGTATATCAAACAGAGATGGTGTAATGAAAGGATACAGGTGATGGGGGTCTGGAACTCCTCCAAACACACCGTGCAGGATATGATCCCAGTGTTTCTGCTTCTCTCCCTGTTGACAAACACAAGCAAAAGAAAAAGTTGGCAACAATAATCTCAGAAATCAACCAGTGAAGATTAGAGAATACTATCGCGTGTTAATATTCCGCTGATTACATTTTGACATCACACGACTTCTCGTGATTGCAGAAGGGACAAGTGAACTGACTGTCCAGGTCCCCCGTCATCTTCTTCTTGGGAGGAGGCTTTCTTTTGGACTTGCGACGACCCATTGCACCCGAACTGACTCTCAAATCTGCGAATAAAGACACGCACACACAGAAGATAAATCCCTCCGCTCAACTGAGAGGAAACAGGAGGAGACACGAGAGGATGCTCGAGGAGAAAACGACTCCTGTCCGCTTCGCCACATTCATGGTAAGTTAGCATGCTAACGTTAGCATGTTTGTTGTTGATCTTCAGCCTCGCGATGAAAACACAAGTTCAACAGACTCCATTAAGAAAGCGACTGTAGTTATAACGCAACTGAGCCGAGTCGGTTGAAGACATCGTCACTGGAATCGACTCAAACTTTCTTGTTTACCTTTGGTCGAAGAAAACACACGTTGCAGTGATGAGGAAGATGGTTTCCCGCAAGGCCCCGGCACCGGCAGCCGGTCGGCTTATATCATTGGAGGAGAGCGAGCGGGGTCGCGGTCAGCCATTGGCTGCCCCACACGTCAGTCAGGCTCGTGGCAGTGACGTCACCGCGTCTGACACACGCAGCTTTTCCCGCGTGGTGGCGACAGAAGCAGGTGAGCGGCTCGTGTTTATTCCAGAAGTGTTTGTGTTCGATTCCCTCCGAACAGGACGCAGAGGTGTCGTGTCTGAACACGGCCCCACAGGCGGAGTCATTCCAACAAGCGTGTCTCCTTCCTTCAGTGTCCATTCACCTGACGTGAGCTTCTGTTGACCCACCTCATCGTGTTTACTACATCAGGGCTCCGCTCTTTATTCTTCTGGATTACAGTGTCCAGTCTGATGCAACCTCTGTGATATTCATTCATTCATTTCTACTTATGTGAAGTCATTTTGAACCTGTGGGTGCAAAAAACAGTCATTATGCAAACAAGTGAAGAGAAATAAACAGAAAAAAGTCTCATTTACAAACAGTGATGAGAAAGCAGCTGTTTGGAAATGTTCTGTATTAATACAGTTTTTATCATTATCTTTATCAAACACTGATGATTTCAAACTTCAGAAAATTAGAGTTGATTGTATTTGTGGGCTGGAAGTTCAATACAGAGTTTGTACAGGTTTTAAGAAGAGATACTTTATTGATCCCTCAAGGGGGAAATTCTTTTTACACTCATTTTTATACATGCAGTTTTTAACCCTGAAACACAATCCCACACACACAAAGGGCTCATAGCCATGCAAATGTGGAGAGAGATGGTGGAGTGGTGGAGGTACAGTTCACTCAGTGATCTGCTGATTGTTTTTCACATTTAGTTTCTCATTTTTGTCTTTATGTCATACATCGGAGACAGACATGCGTATATGTACGCTCCCAAATTGAGGACTTAAAACGGATGAATACTAAATGCTACTCAGTTTACATTGGTAGACGCTAAATGAAAGAATTAAAATGAGGAAGCTTGATAAATGAAATTGCAGATTTCGTTCTGCGTTGAACACGTAGACAAACAGAGAAAACATAATTTTGCATGAGACTGCCGTGAAAATGGACATGATCGTCTAAGAATCTGTCAAAAGCATTCTCTGATCACACATCAAGATAAGTAAGTGTACATTGTTCTCTGTCTCTTAAGCCCAGATTTAGTTTTGTGATAGATCGATGATGTGGACAGTGAAGGCAGTCGGCCTCGGGGTGGTGGCCCTCTCTCTGAGCTTGGAGCTGTTCGTCTGGTTCCTCCGGCGCTTCAAGCCTAGACGGACCCTCCACGAGGTCCTCTTCTTCCCCTCAGAAATGGCCTGTGTGGAGCACATCTTCATCCCCTCTTCACCACAGTGAGTGAAACATAACATTGAGTTTACAGAGTGTTTAGAAGCCATGTAATATTTTCTCAGTATCACTGCACAGTTTATTGTTATAAGGCCACTCATGCAAAATTCACCCGACCACTTGGAATAAGTGGATTTAATCAGTGCATTCATTCTTATTAATCCCCACTGCTTACTCAGCATGAATAAACTGCACCGCACTGAAGTAATTTCACCAGATGAAATTAATCCTGAAAGACCATGTGGACAACACAATTTTGTTTTCTCTCTTCTTTCTGCTCCTCTAGTTCCTGTTTATGCCCATTGCCTCATGGCGTCGAGACCTCTTTCTCCCGTCTTCTCTGCCGCATCCTGTCGGCCAAGTCCTCTTTGGACTTGTGCATTTTTTGCTTTTCGAACATGGAACTATGCAGGGCTGTACTAGCGCTGCATAGCAAGGGTGTAACCATCCAAGTCCTCACTGACCAGGAATACGCTCACGTCACTGGCTCCCAGATAGGGGTCCTCCGCAAGGCCGGTAAGGGAAAAAGATCTCTTGATTTATTTGTTTTTATCTGTGCAATGTATATTTCTTCATGCAATGTGGCTCAAGCCCTCACTGTGACAAAGCATCTATCTGTTAAGACGTTTCACAAACAGGCCCAGAGAGTCATATTTAGCCCATATAGGGGTATTATTTCTTTAAAAAGGTCATACCAACCTAAATGGAAATATTATTGACAAATACCACTTGAAATACGGGAAGGATGACTCAGGTGGTTCTCAACAAAAGGTTGCTCACTCTGTGTTCTCGACACTGCCGGTGTCACTGTCATGAAGTCTGTCAGAGTGAAAAGAACGATGATAGGAACTGTCTGGGTGAATGGAGGTTGCCACTACAAGCTCTCCTATGAGTCAAAGTAATCATTCTCTGAAAGCTCCGAAAGATTTTGTGTCATACGTCTGACTCACACTGTCTCACTTTCTCTCTCTCAGCCCCCTCTGCATTTAATAAATTACTGCTGGAGCATATTGTTAAGTAAGAACTAAGTAAGTAAGAACTTGGCAACCAGACAACAAATTTCATTAGGCAAAGTGTTTCTCTCTCTCTCTCTCTCTCTCTCTGTGTGTGTGTGTGTGTGTGTGTGTGTGTTGAGTTGAGTGCCTCTTTGATTCAAGGGACGGTCACCTCCTCTTTTCATACAGAATCTTTTGTGTTCAGGTCTTTAGTCATTGCTCTGCAAAAACATTTTGTAATGAAGCAGCTGTATGTGACTTGCTCTGGTTGGTCCAGAGTTTGTCCATTCCTGAGTTTTGTTTTCAGTTTTTCACTTCAGGCCCCAGTTCCTACATTTCGGGGCCTGAGCAATGCACTGTAATAGTTGCTCTGCTTACTGGCAACATAAACATCGCTACACGAGATGAGTTAACATTACTCTTAACCAAATTCATGCTTCTACTGAGAAGCTATGCCGTATCCTCACGGGCACCTGCCCAACTGTTTTGATATTTGTCAAGGCGATGCAGACTGCTAGAGGAGGGATTGGTGCACTTGGTGGCATCACATTTCCAGCAGACCTGACGCCATGTTTGAATTGAGTTGAAGGAACGAACGCAGATGACACTTTCTTTTCTGAGTTGCAGTTCTTTAAGAAAAAGTAATTGCTCTTCAACATCTATCAGCTCCAACTCCAACAAGATCCGCTTATACACTCGCCATTGCTCTGAAGTAAATGGAGACGCCAGAGAATTTGTAAATAAGCGGAGCAGAAATTAGAAGACAACATAACAACAACAGCATAGAGACTCTACCTCCTCTAGCATTTCGAGGTGTAATTGCAGCGCGACTCACACACACCTATGCACAACTATGAATGCTTGGCCCCATGCGTAGGCTACATGCGTAGGCTACATGCGTAGGCTACATGCGTATGCTACATGCGTATGCTACGTGCATACCTACGGCGTAGCTTTGACACACAAGCAGGAGATGAGCTAAACTCTGGCGACAACACACACTCTACATTGCTCTGGCAGCTCTGTTAGCAAGTAGCTGCCTCGCACTTGTGTCACAACAACAAAATGCCTAAAGCTAAACACTCAGAAGTGTGACTGTATTTCACATGAAAGGATGCTGACACTGAAAAGTGCAACAGAATTATGAAAACATTTACATGGCAAGGGGGCGGAACACGACAATCAATGATGCATATTGCGACACAGAGGATACATGCAGAAGGATGCACCGTGTTTTACTGCTTGGCTGACTACATGCCAAGCAGTAAAACACAGTGTGTTAACAGTAAAACACAGTGTGTAAACAGTAAAACATGGTAAAACACAGTGTGTTAACAGTAAAACACAGTGTGTTAACAGTAGAACATGGTAAAACACAGTGTGTTAACAGTAAAACACAGTGTGTTAACAGAAGAACATGGTAAAACACAGTGTGTTAACAGTAAAACACGGTAAAACACAGTGTGTTAACAGTAAAACACAGTGTGTTAACAGAAGAACACGGTAAAACACAGTGTGT